AGTTCTTGCTCCAAGGCATCGGCTCGGGTTAGTGCAGTGTTCAACAGTTCCTCCTTATCAGGGGGCATTGCTGAAGGATTCATGTTAATAACACTTAATCTCTCTTCCAACTCCTGCATACGTTTCATGACTGACATCAGTTCTTCAGCGGAGAGGGCTGCTTGTTGGGCTAACTCGGGTGAAGGCTGCTGGGTCCTAGCCACTGTGTCTACACTGTTAACTTGACTCTAGTAGCTGTTGCCATAGGTGGGTTTCCTGGGCATGTTGCGCGTCACTTTTATCATAGCACCGATGCCCATAACAAACGTCATAACGCCGGTGAAAATATGAGAGCTAAGTCCATCAGGAACCCTGCAAGCTTCTTGCCTAGAATTTATCCTCGGAACAATAGCCATCTCATTACCTATTATAATTTAGTTCAGAAACATCAGTACCGTAAGTATCTGATCCAAGTATGTGCTTACATGAAGTATGTTGTCCCTGATACTGAACTACATTGAGAAACATTCAGAGAAAACATCCTCATGAAGCTACATTATGTTTTTGTGTGTGTGTGTGACTTTTAGATGTAACAGTCCAAAAGTAGGGATGTACCTCTAGGTACGATAGTAGTATTTTCATTCTGCAAAGGCAAATCAACAGGTTTATCAACCACCGGGATAACTTCCTCAGTTTTGATCGTTTGGACCAGTGAGATCTATTCATGAGAAGTAAGAAAAGGTGGAAGCAAATAAATTCGATGCTCAAGATAATCTACAAACTCAAGTACTTTGTTGGTATTGCACAATGCATCCTCTAAGGGTTCTACATATTTTACGAGTTGGATCAACTTCTCGATCTATGTCGGTACAACTAGATGCTAACTTAAAGCCTGTAACAAGGCTGCTAAACTTACATTGTCATTAACAGGAGCTGGTAGCTCTGGAGGTTGTTTCTCTCCTGCATCGGGGACTGGAACAGCCTCAGCTACTCAGAATAGACTATAAACACGCAAGCTCTTAATAATTCAGGGACAGATAGACATATAGTTGGAAAAGAGCAAGTGGCAGGTGCTAGCTTATGAGAAAGTTAAACCTTTGGGACTGCAGGCTCTTCCTCTACAGTTGTTTTCTCTTCACTGGTTTGAGCCTGTGATTTCTTCCCTGATTTATGTTGACCATTTTGAATCATCTGCAAGTCAAAGTATCAGTTAGACTATGGCAAACAAACTATACAATAGAATCACTATGACTGCAACTGAGAATAAAAAATATGGTTGTGGTCAACCTTCAAAATCTCTGGGTCCTTCCACGGGCCCTTATCAGAAAGCATGCAGCCTCCCTGATCGGCACAAGTGCAAGTACCTCCCAAAAAGTCCGGCAACTGGCTGATAGGGATCAACGAAAGGAAAATAAATATCAGGAAATTGTTCAGAACAGTGGATAACACTTTTGTTCTACATTCTAAGCTAGGATTGGACTTACTTAGCATCAATTATTTTGAGCAACTTGCTCTGAAACTTGTTACCAAGAACCTGGTACACAAAAGATTATACCTATTAGATTCTATTGATCATACTAGCAAATTCAGTGAGAGGAAGTGAATGTTCCACAACATTCTAAATCCAGAACCAGCATTGATGATGAACATCCGGTTCAACGTCTGCAAGAAGTGCAAAATTTAGCAAACGTCAAACCCATAATCTAATGTTAAAAGTCACAACCAAAACAAAAACTTAGCTATGAAGAAAATTGGTACCTCAGGATAATTGTCGCCATCAACCTTCTGAAGAAGAGTGATGAGGTCCCTAGCAGATTTTGTGAAGCTTTTAAGACCCTGTGCCATTAAACCAGAGGACATTCTCATAAGTGATTTATGAGAAACTTTGATCAAATTCTTGTATCATAGACATAGTGCTATTGTTCTCCTTACCACTCCATTAACGTCCAAGATGGTTGTGCTTTGGTCAATGTGCATCTTGGAAGCAATAGTGCATGCTGGAAATTTAAATTGGAAGGTCTTCTCAAACTCCCTCACATGGTATTTGAGATAACGATCCATGGTGGTGATTTGCAGGAGATTGGTTGCATCTACTAGTCCTGTTCTCTCTATATACACCGGTCGTCCATCCATATCAGCTCCATGGTACCCTTGGGGATAATATTTCAAGACGTCCTCTCTCTCATTGAAATCAAAGTCCTTAAACAAATAGCAGAAAACAGAATGGAACTCAGGCAGAGAGTCATTTTGAGGATACATAAACAAATTGCAGAATCACAATACCTCTAAAATCGTGTCGGTACCAAATTCTTTCCTCCAATTAAGCATATCGGACCACATTTGCTTCGTTTTCTCAAGGTCAAATCTTCTGACCTTCAAAAACCTGCATTATCAGACAATATACCTCCTTTGTGGTTTGCTGCTTGCCTTAGCAAGTTGTTCATTTCAATAAATTTGGCCAAGTAGGCATATTGAAAAATGCATATACTACAACACCATGGATGAAACTTACCTGAGCATCCTGTGATAATCATCGTGTCTTTCAGGCAGCAGGTCCTCCGCTATAAGTGCCTTACGAAAGGCTTCAACAGACTGTAACTCCTCCGGATCCCAATCATCATCAATTTCAACAGATAGTACTTTACTGCTCCTCCTTTTCCTTGAATTCCTGAACCTATTAGAGGCTGTTTTCTTGAATGACCCTCTTTTCCCTTCCTCTGAGACATCGGTTTCTTTAGAACAAATCATTACTAACATTAAATATAGTGTAAAAACTGAAAATCATCAGATGTTCCCCATATATTAAGACTAAATTTTAGATTCCATCATGTATGTAAACAAGAATATCCCATTACAACCATGCTCCAAGAATTCATGCAAATGAAACATCTAAACACAAAATCAAAACATCAACATTGTACCATGATGCATGCCCTACCATGATTTTGAGGTGGAATGTCAGACATGATCAGGGGCTTTGGGTTCCTGACGGGTGAGAAAACAGTAAAGGGCAGGCGAATTCAAGCACTGGTATATATCTATAGTTCCTCAAAATGCCTGCAAATGGTACAATATCTTGGTATGGCCACCCAAAGCATTCAAAGATTTAAAATGAGGAACACTAAAACTAAAACTAGAGAAAGAATATACCTCTGCAAAACGGGTGGGAGGATAATATAAGAGAAAACTAATTTTTTTCTTTCTATGGGTATTTTTAGCTCCCTTTGAAAATGGTGGGGAGACGGATAATGGGAGGGGCATGACAAGGCATGCCAATAAAAAAAACAATTTTTTTCTAATGTTTTTCATGTTCATGTTTGTAAGAAAATAAGAAATGGGACAGCTTGGTTTCTTTATTTGGCATTGGCATTTGCTTTCCATCATCTTTCTTTGACCAATGAATTGGATTTGAATATGAAATGCAAGGCCTTTCCATCAAAACATAACAAACGTACAAACCCATACCTGGTTTTGCCTCTATCGAGTTTTGGTTTTACACTCTTTGTTTAGCACTGAATTGTTTATGAATTTCAGCACTATATCGTTTATGGATTATCGCTTTTTCTTCTTGTTAATTATACCTGTTAGGCTAATGCTTTGCATTTGTCTCTTTAACTTGTTTGATGATTGCTTAATTCTTTGAGTAGAAGAGAAATTAATGAGCTTAACAGCTATGACGAGTAAATCTTCTTTTTCTGCTCGGTATAAACTCAGCTTTGTTTCTCTACCCTCACTTTTGAAGACACAAAAACAGTTAAATAGCATAAGACAGACACTCACTTGTCTCTTGAGAAGCTCTCTACTCGAAAAAGAAAAATCAGCCATTGACCCTCCTCTGTCTAAATCAGAAGGGATAAATTATATAATTTGACCAACTTCCTTCGTCTATCATCCAGAGAATTACTATAAACCATTAATCTATATGTTCTACATCAACTGTTGATGCGCTGAACATGGATCATTTTTCCCGACCTGAGAATCAACCATGATGCTTAAACCAATGCCCCGAGAACAATGTTAACTTTTTAACTCTCCACCCAAATCAAATAAGGTAAACTGCTAGAGTTAAGATGAACCACTGATGACGACGTCAAATATTCCTCCGGTAATGAATATAATCGAATCATTATTCTTGTAGCTCCACCCAAACCAAATATGGTGCATTGCATAATCCCTCTAGGAAAAAAAAAAAACTCCCGATCATAGTATCATAGATCCCTTCACTTGAATATCTTTGTCTGGACAGCTTGAGATGTCCCAAGATCCCTCATCACTAAATTGGTGCTAGATACCTATGCCCGTACAACGTGATAAGACTTCTATGTGATGGTCTATGCTCATGGAGCATGAGAGTAATGGTTTTTGTGGCTCTCCCTCCAAATTAGATAGGATGAATTAGTTAGGACTTTTCGCTCAAATCAAACAGAATGAATTGTTATATATCCCTCTGCTAGCTAAAACATAAAGATGATTTATTATCCCTGCTCATAGGAAGATGTCTCTGTTCATACAAATGTGAGATACCTCTATGACTCCCCCACTGTTAAGAAGATTTTGTAGGGATGACTCTAGGGAAAATCCCATAAAGAGATGTCTCGATTTGTTCATCAGTGGCACATCAGAAAAATGATCATCGAGTTTACTTACCTTAGCAAGACCAATAATGAAGAAGTCATTACAAGAGCCTTTTAAAGAGAAGATATCAGAAGGCCTTAATTTGAAATCTATTAGCCATGGAATAATACATATGGAGAAAAGATACCTCTATGACTCCACCACCCTCGTACCACAGGGGAAACTCACTCAATGATCACCATGTGACGATGATAATCACATGTACCAAGAATACAGAAGGGAGAAAGACCGGATTGAGAAAAGAACAAATCATTCTCACGTGAAAACAATTTTAATGTTACAATTATTCAATAAAATCGTTCTTAATCATTGACAACGCGCACACATACTACAAACACGTAACTACTCGAACTCAGAATCTTTAACGAGAACAACACTCCCTTTAACCCAAAATCTTTTCTAATTCAGTGATTCGTATTGAGCTCATTTTTGCTATTTTAATTCTATCAGTTATTTGACAATAGAGAAAAAGGAAGCGTTTACATTCTTCTCAACCCGATTCTTCCATTCACCATTCTTTTTCTGCTCAGCATCAAAGTTTTGTTTTGATCACCATCCGTTTTCAATCTCTTAACTCTCGATACTATTTCATTCAATCTTGTGATGGAGGAAGAATCAGTTTCTCCATTCTTGGATTCATCTCTCTTGCGTTTGAGGAAGTGAACAAGGCCTTGAAGAGCAGCATCAGCATCATTAGTCCTCATCAATTCCTCAGCTACCTCTGCTGGTGTGGCCTCTGTGGTTTTGAGCAAGTCATCAATTTCTCCAAAGAAAGGGTTGTTTTTGGTGCCGATTCCCAGATAATTGGAAGCCAAAACCCTGAATCCAGCAGTGGTGCAATAGGACATGTTGATGTGCAAGTCCATCCGACCCGGCCGCAACAGTGCTGGGTCTATTCGGTCTTTGTAATTGGTCGTAAACACGATGATTCTCTCATCCCCACAGCTTGACCACAGTCCATCGATGCAGTTTAGTATACCAGATAGTGTCAACTGCTGTATGTAGCATCAAGGAGACATCAGTTTAGTCCACAAAAACAATCTCTTTTAATTTAGGGTAAACTCTACGGTTAGCACCTCAACTATCACTGTTATTCCGTTTTGTTCACTAAACTCTTTTTTTCCAAAAATCATACATAAAATTATATTTTTCGTTTTATTTTGGTCACCGACGGTTAAAATATTAATAGAAGTGTTGACTTGACATTTTTAGAGTAAACTATACGTTTAGTACATAAACTATTACTTTTATTCCGTTTTGGTACACAAACTTTATTTTTTTTCAAAATATATCTAACGTTTAGTTCAAGTTTTAATTTGATACCCATTCGTTAAAAAATTAACAAAAATGCTAACATGACATTTCTTTTATTTTTTTTCAATGATGACATGATATTACCTTATGGTGATACGTCAACATCATCGTTAAGTTTTTAATGAGGGATATCAAAATTAAATCTAAACAAAATGTTAGGTATGATTTGAAAAATATTTAAAGTTTAGGTACCAAAATAGAATAAAAATAATAATTTAGGTACTAATTGTGTAGTTTACCAATCTTTTTAATTTTGTTTTCAAGGATGATATGACATTACTTTGTGATGACACATCAATATCACTGTTAAATTTTTTATGGTAGGATATAAAATCAAAACTAAACATTAGATGTGATTTTAAAATAAAATAGTTTGGTAACCAAAAAGAAACATAAGTGATAGTTGGATACTAAACATGTAGTTTACCCTTTAGTTAATGTTGTTTTAGAAGGAAATTCCAACTAAAATTGCCTAAAGTGCAGCGAAAAAGAAGATCTTACTCCAGATTTAGCATCATGCTGTTTGGTTTTGGTTCTGGTTTGTCGTTTAAGAACCTCAGAGCTGCAATCAATGTCTTCAATCAAGAGTATAGACTGATTACTGGTGGACAGCAGTGTCCTCCTCAGCTCAGCATCAGAGTGTACACTGGTGAGCCCCAAATCATATATATCAAACCTGAGATAATTAGCCATGGCGGCAACCAAACTGGATTTCCCAGTTCCAGGCGGACCATACAGCAAGTAGCCTCTTTTCCAAGCCTTACCCAATTTCTTATAATACCCTTTCCTCTTCAAAAACATCTCCAAATCATCAATGATTATCTTTTTCAGATCTGGGTCCATAGCCAGTGTATCAAAAGTAGCTGGATGTTCGAGGATTATTGAACCCCAAGATCCCCTTCTTTCATTCTCATCTTCACTGAATGGACATTGACGGCTATAAAGCTTTATCGCCTTGTCTTTGTTTTTGATCTCCTCGGCTTTGAGCAAAACGTAAGGCAAGTAAAAGTTCAAAACTTTGTCTTTGTGTTTCTTGTTGAAGATGAGCTCGAAGTATCTTTTCTCCCCATGGGGAGGCTTCTCGCCTTCTGCGCAAGCGAACCTCCACGTCAGTCGAACATCTTCGAAACGATCGACCACTGTTTCCCCCTTGTCGATGGCGATGGTGATATGGTTTTGTTTCCTGGTTTTGCTGACTTTGAGCCGCTCCGTCTTGGGGCTGATCCTGGTGCTGAGATACAGTTTGGCTCCTTCGAAAACTTGGTTCTTGGCCATCCCACATCGCTCGTCGATAGCGAGGGTGAGGGCGGAGGAGAGAGGGGAGAAGAAGTAGCGGCATGTTTTGAGAAGGTAGGATCGGAGTGGGTGGGGAATGAGTTCATTGGCCATGGATCGGACCAGCATTATGGAGCCTGCAAAGGAGGCATAGGCGGATAATAATGAAGATGCTGTTTTGGACATTTCTGAAGACGAAAACATGGCCGCCATTGAATGAAGAATCAGAGCAAAGAGTTCGGAGGTTCAGGGTCGAGCGGGGATGATTGAGAAACCGGTGGACTGCCTTTGTTTTATAGGCAATCACAATAAATCAAGCATTTTGTCGAAATGTACGATGTAAAAATACTTGATACAATTTTAATAGGCTTAAATGTAAAAAAATTGGTCAACGTATGCTTTTTTTTTTCAGTTTGATACATAACATTTTATTCCGTAATTTAGTTTGGATTTGAACGGGACAAACCGTTAATTATAACTGTTAAATGCCACTTGGCATGAGTATAATATTAAGAAAATATTTTTATTTTTTCTTTATTTTTTTCTGTAACACTCACAATCCGTAAACATCTAAGAATACGAGCCATAAATATCACCTTAACCTGACAAATATTCATTATTCAGAATTGTTTAAAATTTTGTTTCTATTAAAAACGTAAAAACATGTCTATTTGAAACTTTAAAACTATTTATATTTACTTTGGGCTTTCGTACCTTTTAAAATCACAATATTATAAAGAGAAAATAATTTTAGTGACCAAAAATACCTTATAATATACGATTTTAATCAATTTTTTTTGGATTTGCCAAAATGACCAACTAAATCGCAATGCGATCAATAATTCGCAACGCGATCTCCGGTATTGCAAATCAGTTTTCAGATTCGCAACGCGATTCTGACTATCGCATTGCGATTTTCCTAATTCGCAATGCGAATACGTAAATCGCAATGCGAATACGTAAATCGCAATGCGAATACGTAAATCACAATGCGAATACGTAAATCGTAATGCGAATACGTAAATCGCAATGTAAATACGTAAATCGCAACGCGAATCTGACTATCGCAATGCGATTTACATAGCGCCATTCGTATCCAACGCGCATTTTTTTTTCAAACTCCAAACACGAATATATTAATATATCGGAACACTGAACCGTCCACAGTATATCCCGTAATCGCAACTCATAACCTAAAACCCTAAATCACAACTCAGTCTCATCTCCATCTCTCACTCTCTAAGGCGACATCCGTCCCCATCTCCGACGAAATCAGTCCCCATCTCCGACGATATCAGTCTCCATCTCCGGCGAAATCATTCACGGTCAAAAATGGAAAATCAACTAAATCAACCACCGATGGTTAGTTTTTTTAATTATTTTTATTTTGAAAATTTTGCATTATTATTAGGTTTTTCATATTGAAATTGATGATAAGTTTACTGGTGTTTTCAATAATAGATTAACCATTTCACTTAGATTGCTTATTATATTCATTCAATTGCTGCCAATACTGCTAAACTGTTTAGTCTTTAACCTTGTGAAGTTAGTAGTTGTTTTTGTTTTGTCTTTTGGTTGAAGTAATGCAATCCATTCAAGTTTCTTTCAATTTTACTATCTGAAACCGAGAATGACTATCGCAATGCGATTCTGTCGTTGCGATTTTCATTTAGCGTTGCGATTCTTGCGTTGTGATAGTCAAATTCGCGTTGCGATAGTCATTTTCGTGTTGCGATTTTTATTTTCGTGTTGCGATTTAAAGTTTCAGAAACTATTCTTCTTCTGCAAATTGAAACTTGAATGAATTGCATTACTTCAACCAAAAAACAAAAACAAATACTAAATTTACAGTGTTGCAAGTTTAAGTTTGAAGAATAAACTACTACTCTTTATGTTTATTGTTCTTGTTATATCTTCACAATGTAGTTTTTGGTATATCTAAATTGGTATGTTTATTGTTTTTGCAGAACTTTTATTTGGCTCAATTGACCTTAAGAAATAAAGTAAGCCTGGCAAAAACAATTGCGGCGAAGCTTTCACCTGCACAAAGAAAAATATTTGAGGATACTTGCTTCGGGCCATGGTTGAAAGTACAACATCCGGGTGGAGATGCTATGTTGACCCATCTGTTTCTTCAAACCATGACTAGCGATCTACCAGAGACTATACAACGTCGTGATGAAGAGATATGGTTTGATTTTCCACCGGCGTATACGTGTTTTGGGCGGGAGGAGTTTTGCTTAATCACCGGTCTACGCTTCGGACACGATGATGTAGATCGGTACACTAGACATATTACCCGCCTATCATGGTTTTCCCGGGTTTTTCTTGAGCTGTCAACGGAGAAGTCGAATTTACACATGGAAGACTTGACGAGATTATTGAATAAGAAAGATGATTTTACTCGGATGGATGACGTCGATGTTGTCCGAGTATGCCTTCTAATACTTTTGCAAGCCGGATTTTTAGGCAGAGAGGCCCGACAAACTATTCCTAATGATCTAATTAAATTGGTAGAGGACCTAAATGCATGGAACCTGTTTCCGTGGGGTTCGTATCTATGAAGAGCTACATGGAATAAGTTGTCGTCTGCCTTTGATGATCGGAAAAGTTTGCGTGGCGATGGTTCCAAATACACTTTGTCAGGCTTTATTTGGGCCTTTTAGGTAAGAATTTTTATATAATGTTTCTAAAATTATAATTAATTATTATTTAATAATTATTAATGTTTATTATTATATTGTTTGTAGATTTGGATATTTGAGGCCTTTCCCGCCATGCAGACATATGCATTAAAAACTTCTAATGATATTCCTAGGGATATTTCCTGGAAGAGGAAACGGTCCTTACAGTAATGGGAAGATTTACTACCGTATACTACAATAAATAATGTAAGTTAACACAAATACTACCATATGTTTATAAACAAGTTATTACTAGTACACGTTTAACTTTGTTTGAGCTTTTATATTGTTAGGAGGCCAACACTCCATTACAGAGGCTGACACCCACGGAAGTTGAGCTTGCCACTGATTGGTGGCAAGCTAGTAAGCGTTTTTTTATGGCACAGATGATGAGCAACCACCACTTTGAGAGCCATCACCTCACCCAGAGCCATCACCTGATCGACCCGAATATACACCTCCAGAACGAGAGTCATCACCTATTCTGTCATATCATCGAGCCTCTTCTCCACCATCACCTCATTATAGGCGACCGACAAAGATGCCATGATGTTTATCTCCCTGTTCTCCACCTCCACGGGATGAGTTAGGGGAGTTACGTAATGAGGTCAATGCCTTGCGTGAGGAGGTCGGTACTTTACGCGATGACAATGGTGCATGGCGTGTTGAGGTGTCTACTTTACGTGGTGAGGTAGCAGCTCTACGTGAGATTGTAGCATCGTTGTAGAACGAGGTTCATACTCTACGCAACGAGATAAGTTTAATATTTTTCATATTTAACTTGATGATAAATTTACTCGTAATTTCACTTAGATTGCTTAGTAAATTCATTCGGTTACTGCCAATACTGTTTAACTGTTTATTCTTTAACCCTGTGAAGTTAGTATTTGTTTTTTGTTGTCTTTTGGTTGAAGTAATGCAATCCATTCAAGTTTCAATTTGCAAAAGAAGAATAGTTTACTATCGCAATGTGAAAATGACTATCGCAACGAGAGAATCGCAATGCGAAATGAAAATCGTAACAACAAAATTACAACGTGAAAATGACTATCGCAATGCGAAAATGACTATCGCAATGCGAATTTGACTATCGCAACGAAAGAATCGCAATGCGAAATGAAAATCGCATTGCGATTCTCTCGATGCGATAGTCAAATTCGCATTGCGATAGTCATTTTCGCATTGCGATAGTCATTTTCGCATTGCGATAGTCATTTTCGCGTTGCGATAGTCATTTTCGCGTTGCGATTTTAAGTTTCAGATTCTATTATTCTTCTGCAAATTGAAACTTGAATGAATTGCATTACTTCAACCAAAAGACAAATACTAACTTCACAGTGTTGAAAATTTAAGTTTCAAGAATAATCTACTACTCTTTATGTTTTCATTGAACCTGCACTAAACCTATATGTTGTCCTTTTAAATGTTTATATAAGTGCTTACTTCTGGAATGTTATCTAATGCATTTTGTGAACAATGATATAATAATGACTTGGGTGAATACCGTGCAAGTTTGAAATATATTTGTCTTTGTTTTCACTGTTTAATATTATGTCTGTTTATTTATTGATTTATGTATTAATTTATTTTTAGCGGCCCGCTAAGGTGGATGCTCTACGTCAGTTTTTTCTTGCAAGACGGAGTTCACGCATCAGACGGCGTGCACGTGCCATTACGTCTCCGTTCACCCCAATAGTGCGAAGAATCCGTAAGAAAAAACCCGACTCATCTATCATCGTTCAAGAGGCCTCCCCTATCATTCAAGAGGCCCCTATCATCCCTCAAGAGTCCCCTCCCACCTTTCAAGAGGCCACTGTCATCGTTGAAGAGGTCCCTCCCAACATTCTAGAGCCCGATTCACACGGCGTAATATATCGAATTATTGAGAAGCCCCCTCACGTGCCGGACATGATGGATGACTGTTGGCTTTCGTATAAGTTACCGGCCAGTACCATTCCGGCAGATGAAGTGGAGAGGAAACAACTACCGAAAACAATTTTGGATAATACCCTTTGGGCTAAGACCGCAGTTGATTTTTATATACATGAGCAGAGCCAAGGGTGTTACGCTGACATATATAAACTCAACGATGATATGCATTTGTTGATTGAACGGTCTTGGTGGGGTGTATTATTAGGGGTTGAAGACAATGGCTATTTCGATGGGGGGTAAGTCTTATATTTCTTCTTATATTTCAGTTTGATTAATTTTTTTTAAAATTTATGTAATTCACTAATATATGTCTTTTTTTGTAAAACAGCATATTGATGCATGGGTGACACGTCTTCTAATTGTAAGGAAATTGAATAAAAATATAAAAAAATGCGATATACAATTATGCCGACATCTTTTCACGTAGTTCACTTGAAGAATCAACGACAGGAATCATATGTGTTGGCTAATGGACAAGCTAAACTTTATCCTGCATGGTGGGAGGTCGATAAGGTTAGTATTTATTTGTTTAAATATTTTAAAGGTGTTCATAAATAAGTGCGTAATTTGAATTATTACATTTCGATGCAGGTGTTTATCCCTGTTTTGAAACGTACTCATTGGCTTCTCGTCGAGCT